AGTCTATGTGAATACAAACATTTTGTACATTTATTTTTTTATACTGTTCCTTGGTCATTTATCTTCAAAATGTACATTCTTCATATCCTTTGTTCTGAATATTCTTGTGTATATGGCATTTTTTATTGCACTGTTTACCAGCTGGCAACAAAAAATTACACAGTTTTCACATTTTATTCATTACAAAATATTTTTGTTGTTTTACAACATATATTTTTTGGAAAGAGCATTTCATTGTGCAAAATTTGATATGCTGCATGCGTGCTGAAGTACTTTTCACACTGGCAAAAATTATCTTCCCGAGACATATAAAAAATAGCCATTTTCACGCGGTGACGAAAAATTTAACTGAATGCCAAGTAGACCATGTATCATGACCCAACAGAAGAAACCGGGAAGCTTTATTTCGTAGTTTTATGCCTGCCACGGTAGCAGTATTCCGATGTATCAGGGCAGGACTTCTCAAACTCTGTTTCATGAAAAGAGTTTTAAGGGTCTTCCCCTTCCATTTATCTAGCATTAGACAGTTATAGTATACCGGGCTTACCAGGATACCGGGCGTACCGTGATACCGTAATAGAAGTGCGCATGTGCAGATACATACGTTACTCACACCGCTTACCGTACGTGCGGTATTTTTCAGATTTAAGGTTACCGTGGTAGCGTAAGTGTACGTAAACGTGGTAGCGTAAGTGTACGTAGTGTACGTAAACATGGCGAAGCTCTCGGACATGCGCTTCGAAGTGATTTTGACGTAGTAGTTGAAAGATTCACCTTGTTCGCAGCAAACGACTGTTTAAGGTGGCTTTGCTTGCCTTCAGTTAGCTTCGATAACCGAGCATTACGGATAAGTTGGCATAATTTCTGAGATAGCTTCCCATTTCGACCGAGTCTAGGCATAACTACAAGATCGATGTAAACGAATCGGCAACAAGATTTTTTTTTGCGTTTGGTGCATGGTTCATAATTATTTGCTTTTATTATTAGTAAAATAAATTTGCAACAATGCTTCACATGGTGGCATAGGCAAACATTCTCGTTTTCTTTTCCTTTTCACTGTCTCTAACTTATTAACCATCCGATAGGTGTCGCCACCGTCACGTAAACCACATAAACGCTATTCCGCTAAGCTATAAGACTCTGTCCACAACGAACGTTTGCTGCACGGTAATGTCATTTCCTTAACCTCTGCTATCATGTTAACCATAAACTATAACTGTCCATTAACTTACACAATTTATGATCAAGACAACATACATCATATTTTGAATTTGACAAAGCCATCGCGTGCTGCATACAAACTTCAGCAGTTTGCGAGCAGCAAGAAAAGCAAGTGGCTGCAGCACTCAAACACTCATTGTTATTTGTGAACAGTATGGAAGTGCTCAGTGCTTTTAAGTTGCACTCCAAAGTGCTTTTACTAATACCTTGGAGTCACTTGTCTACCCTGGTCGACTTTTGTTGCCATTGATGATGATATTAGCGCTTTAAATAGCGTATTATAACCGACACATGAAATCTGTCATACGTCAAGTGACTCACAGCCAGTCAGTGTTCTTATGGTGGACAGGTATACAGTCGGAAACTGATTTTCAGAACATGCCTTATAATTTCAAGGTATGACTGATGCAGTGCTGAAATCCAAGACTTTTACATAAAAAACAGTGCACAGGACGAGTACTGTTTGATTCAGCGCTAAAGACGTAGAGGTAAAAAAAATCATGCAAGCATTCCAACTAACCCTGCTTTCTGTTCTACACTTTCACCCATAGCCACGTACCCCACAGAGTCAATGTATAAGAATATTTGAAAATTTGCAGGATGTAGCCATTTCTATCTGCTTTTTTCAAATTTTCTGCCATGGTTGTAGACCCAAAATAGTGTTATTTGAGGCCACCAATGTCACCTTGTTGATTACTTAATAGCCTTATAGCAGAACATGTCAGAGGTACCTATAGACTTGAAGCCTTAGCAATTCCCAAAAACCAAACACACTAACCCTTAAAACATAGCTGTGATGGATCAGCAACTGTTTTCATAATTCCGAAAACCAAACACACTAACTCTTAAAACATAGCTGTGATGAATCACCAACTGTTTTCATAAAGTGATATATCACTGATTGACTGTAGTGGCCTGCCCGATTAGTGCATTCCATAAACCTAAGGATGAACCTAAAGCCTTGCTACACACGGTGCGGCCACAAGGTGCCACAAAGGTCTTTTGCTGCTTCAGTGAGTGGTGAGACCTCGTTGTCCCACGATTCCAGCCTCAGCACGAGTATGGCAATATCTGACAGATAAATAATCGAACGCACAGAGGCATAATTGTGGCCACTGAACAATTGTCAGTATGACTTATCACCGCTTGCCCTATCATAATTAAATATCCTCCACTGCTTCAGCTACCTTAAATATGTGGGGTAGAACCATATAATTACGAGAGATGCCGAAGTGGAGGGCTCCGGAAATTCAGACCACCTGGGGTTCTTTAACATGCAACCAAATCATAGCAGACGGGCCTACAGCATTTTCGCCTCCTTCGAAAATGCAGCCACCGTAGCCAGGATTCGATCCCGCAATCTGCGCGTCAGCTGCCGAGTACCTTAGCCACTAGACCACCGCGGCGGGGCGGCTTTAGCTATCTTCCCATCAATGTGTGCAGCATAGATGTAAGAATACTGCATGCTTTCAGTAAGCCACAACCTAAATGCTCCACGTCGCTGTTCGCTCCAACCTCTCTGAGCAGAAGACACAGAGTGTGCATTTTTTTGCAAAAACGAAAGTAGCCCGCTGTCACTGCATTGGCCTATCAAAATGCTTGCCCCACCTGACCACACTACGGTGCAACTTGGGTCTGAGTAAACCTTACTATAAAAACAGTGCCTTAGCAAATGTGTGCATACTATACAGAAAGCATACAATGAAAGGAGGGTTCGCTTGTATGCGCAATACTCTCGTGAGTACTCGTGGGTACTCAGTGAAAACACGCTGCCCGTGTCCAAGGAGCAGGAAGGAGCTAGGAACGAGAGGGGGGGGGGGGGGGGCATTGTTATGAACATTGACTTTAAGGGTGTGAATGTTGAGAATTTTACTTCATATTGATCCTTTTCAAGTAAGTTCCAACTATACATGTAAATTTTGTTACAATTCTAGAATGATTAACATGTTATGTTTTTGTTTTCCACTCGTGTAATAGCCCAATGTAAGAAATGACAGCATCTGTAAATAAATAAATAAATAAATGAAGCATTCTACGAGTGACAGCACAAACATAGTAGGTGGTATGCACTACACAAATATTGGCTAGGTATGAAGGTTCTGTGCACTACCAGATCCTGAATTTTAATGAGGTGGCACTGCTTCTTGCTCGGTAGCAGATCATTTCGAAATGCATACATATGCATAAGGAAAAGCTGAATGAGTTGTCTGCCCAGCTGCCATGTCGTCCCTGTGTTCATATCATAGTTTCGAAATGCTACTTGGCATCATTACTAAATGCTATCACATGGTCATGCAAGGCAGTGAAGATTTTTTTTCATGCTTTGGTAAAAAAAAACGAAACAACCTTTTTGTGGGTACTTTAGATACCTGTTTGCTAGGACGTCAATAATATTTTTTCCCCAACTAGAGGCCAATCATGCAAGGAGGACACTAATTTGTACTTGACAGTTTATAGTTATGCTACGTTCCCAGGAGGTACATATTAATGAGGTGTTACTGCACTTAAATGTAATGACGTGCCCTTACAACTATCTTGAATAAGGCTGAGGAAATTATATATATACGTAAGAAAAGCCACGGCCGAAACGTAAATCGATAAAAGAATTGCTTGCTTTCTCGTACGTGTACCAGCTTCTTTTCTTATACATACCAGACCCACTGAAGTGTCCTACTGAATATATATATATATATATAATATATATATATATATATATATAAGGGAAACAGGTGTATACCTAAGGGCTTGTTTTTCCGTGTTTTGACACAATATTAATGAGATCTAACAGACAGTAATGCCAATGAATGTATAGAGGAAGTTATTGGAACCAATGGAATGTAAATAAGAAGAAAGAAAAGTGGGTGAAAAGATAACCAGCTGTGAGCATTATATATATATATATATATATATATATATATAATGAGATATAACAGACAATGCCATAGAAAGTCAAATAACTTCCCCTATACTTTTCCTGGCATTATTGTCTGCAATATTTCAGTATATTGTGTCAAGAACACTGAAAAGCGAGCCCTTAAGTATAGACACTGTGTGTGTGTGTGTGTGTGTGTGTGTGTGCGCGTGCGTGCATGTGTGTGATGAACTACCCAGTACTACAGACACCTTCACGCTCTATAGATTCTGAAAAATCGCATGACTTTACCTCAAACTTTATTTTTTTTTAGCTTGCATATTTACAGCACATAACACCATAGAGGGGAAAAAAGGAAGGGAACCAAAATAAAAGGCATACGAGACACACAGAGTACTGATGTCTTGTGTACTTCTTTCTTTGCAGTGTCATACATGCTCTAATTATAGAAGCTAAAAACCTAGTCCCCACCATATGTATTTTGGCACTTCTTTTCTAGAAGGTAATTTTTTGCTTATGGCCTTAATTCACTTCTGCATGTGCCTTGTTCTCTAAGGTATTGAACGTACTGCAAATAAGGCAGAGACTATAGCCTGGCTAATTTATTTAGGTGCCAAGAGTGTTTTTAGTATTCTACATTTTCATTTACAAAAGTTCTGAATAACAAAGTTGATATTTTGCACAGAATAAACAGGTTTCTTAGCATCCGATACGACCAACAGTTGAAGAAGCCATAAATGCTGCTAAATGTCAATGCCTTTTCGGTTTTTTGTCATTTCTGTGAAGAACAATTAGGAGATATTGGTTAAAGCTGCTAAGGACAAGTCTAAAAAGCAGCACCTAATGACTCCAGCTTTTTCAAGGTCCCTAAAAAGCCGCTTATGCAAAAATTCTAATGGTAACTTGCCTTTTAAAAGCTTCCACTTCACGTTCCAGTTCATCCAGGTCACCACTTTCCAAATCAATATCCTTTGGCAGAAATACTTCATCTGTAATGTTAGACACAAATAAATTAATAAATCTGACAAGGCGATGAGCTGCTCTTATTTACAATACAGCATATCCTCGATTTAACTACTTCAGTGCAATAGCGCAACAAGAAAAACATAGACAATAGAGAAGACATAATCAGCGCTACATGTGTCTTCCCTGTTGTCAGTGTCCTTTTGTTGCATAGTCGTACTGAAGTAACGAATTACCAACTTGCCAGAAATGCTGCTCTCGATATAATAAATTCATACTTTCAGCAAAAAATTAATTACATTGTGAGGTTCATTCTGTTCAAAATTGTGCCTTTCAGTAGAAAAAAAAGAGAAAAATATGATAACTTTCCAGGTCACTCATTGTGATAATATTTCACATTTAGCTACCTAGGAAAGCATTATTTAAAGAAGAAACATCAGTCATGCCTTTAGTATACTACAACATGTTTCCCCGAGATTTGCTAATTTGACTATGAAGCAATATTAAGAAATCCTCACGGGTCGCTGCAAACAGCCCTGTGAAAGACTTATGAGATCAGAATTTCGCTTCTATGTGTGGGTGGCCTCGCACCCCATGGCCATGACATATGGCACAACAGCGTTTCTTGTGCACATGATGGTAGTTCTGCTGTTCAAACGTTTCATGCGAAATGACATGTGCATGTGAACTCTGCCTCATTTGACTTATTTTAGATTTTTGCTGAAGTTACCAGCCTCCTGAGCCCCGAGTACATGCTTGGAATAGCCCAAAATTGTTGCACCGGGATAATTACTTTGTTAAACAGAGCAAGAAAATGCATGGCTTTCAATGCAATCGAAATAGCAAAATGAAAATATTTTAACCTATTAAGAATTTTGTTAAATGACGGCTAGGTATAAATGACTGCTAGTTATATTGAGGTTTGACTATATCACTGCCATGTATATCTATAGTACATCGCTGAACGGTGCAAGATAATCATGCATTACAGAATGTTAAAATATGGTGTTTTTTTTAGAGAGTAAATATTTAAAGATATTAAGACAGTCATGCTCCAGTAGTTTTCACACATATTCTCTATGTCACGGCAGAAGTACTTTACTGAAATGACATTTTCAAGACCAATTACACAAAACCCATATATAAACTTCGTAATTATTGACTTGAGGGTAGTTGCTTACATTAACAACTTATAGCGTGTGTCAATTAATAGCATACCCATTTTTAAGAAATCACAAAAGTTTCATGTAATACAAGATCACTGAATTTATCACTGAATTTGAAGGGTGAAGCAGAAACTGATCATGCCTGGCATGCAGAAAATGAGCTTTCTCTGTTACATCAGACTGAAAATACCCGAGACAAGGAAGTAATAAATTTTGATTGTAGGCTGATTGTCACTGTATCATTTCGTGAAGTGAAAAGAGGCAAGTAATCCTACTTTGCACCAGTGGACAACCTTGCCTTTGCGTGTGTTGTTTGGTGCTTAACCTTTCTTATGAGCTGTGTGCAAGAAAATTACAATATTAACGTTTTCTTTTCGTGTGAAGAATAAAACTTGGGAGCAGCCACTGCAGTGCACCTTTTTGTCGGCAGATGAAATAGTTTTTCGCATCTGTTAATAAATCAAGAAAGAAACGGATAAGCCCCAGACATCACACCCAAAGATTAGGCTGTCTACTTGCATGTATCGAATGCTTGCCGATTTTCTTGACCACATACAGTCAAACCCACTCATAAAGACACTGGTTTTAACAATATCTTGGTTACAACAAGCTGCTACACCATCACACCCAAAGATTAGGCTGTTTACTTGCGTGTATCGAATGCTTGCCAATTTTCTTGACCACATACAGTCGAACCCACACATAAAGATACTGGTTTCAACAATATCTTGGTTATAACAAGCTACTACACCATCTAGTTTTGCATTTTTTTTATGGTCAAATAACCCGCACTATAGCAATGACCGCATGCAGCATTATGAGTCATAGTAATGAGCTCTGTTTGTTGCGTGCCCATGCTAAAAGGTAATGCGCTTTCGAACATGCAATTCGAGTAAAGTTGAGACTTCAAAGAGTTACAGCACCCGAAACTTAAGAAGTGGTCATACATTGGCTCTGGCACTTCCGTGAAAGCGTCCAAATTTTCAAGCATGTCAAAAATTTATAGCTTCGTCATCCTTATCAGCGATGTCTGTTCACAATCTCCATTCAATATTATAGTTTTCTCACTACAGACTGCTGTTTCCCTATTTTGCTTTTTTTCGTGTAACTGGTTTATAACAATTAGTGGTTATAACAATGGAATTTTCATGGCACTTGAGTATTGTTGTAAGTGGGTTCAACTGTATAAGCAACTATTATCAATTAAACAATTGAAGTTAAAGATAAATTTTGTTAATGTTTTCATTGTCATTTCAATTAATGCTAATATTTTCCCCTCAACATACACATGTGCAAAAATGACTGGAGTGTGACTATCATAGAATTTTTATTAAAATCGGTATTGTCTTTAAAACACACACACACACACACACACACACACACACACACACACACACACACACACACACACACACACACACACACACACAAAGTACTTTTTAAGTTCGACGAGAACAGCTCAGTTTACTTATGATCTAAAAGCACTGTATGGGATCATACTAGGCACATTATCATATCCTCCTGCAACCACTGCTACTCTATATTGTATGTTGACTTCAATTCTATTAAAAGGTGGTTCACAAACGATTGCACACCACGTTTATACCAAATATAAGGTTGAATACCCGTGCAAGTTATGGCAGCAGTTCAATTGTCCCTTGCCAGATGTGTGGTCACAAATAATAAGGAGGAATACGACATTTTTCAAACATCGCAAAGTGGCATGAAAAGTCATTATGCAGTGCAAATGTGGCAACCCATCATGAAACAATGTTGTATCTCAATCTGGCTGTTTGTGAAAATACAAGCAGCTTTTACCACATCAAATACAATGATTGCCATTTTGTCAATGCGAATGACGGTCTGGCTTCTGGCATCTAACAAGAATATTTAACAAAATTTTATTGCACATTCATAACATGCCAGCTGAGGTGTAATCAAATTTTTTCAGGACAGGTCGCAGGGATGTTCCGCCAATCTTTCTGCATGTATGTGCATTTGTATGTGCATGTATACAGAATATACACATGTGAATTTTAAATTTTCAAAGGGGGTCAACTACTTCCTGCAAACTTCACTGTCCTGGCTACGTCAATGTATGCTATACTATGAAAACACCTATCCGAAAAAAAATCCGCACTGTGGAAAAGCAATGTCCCACTTTTAGGTTAAAACATTTTTTTTTCTTTAGTTTAAAAGCTCATTTTCTTTTATGCCCTAAACATAGTAAATTTAAAACATGATGTATTTTACTGGTTATCACTTGCATCCTACTGAAAGTAAAATTCTGCTACTATTAAACGTGGACTACACACAAACTAAAAAAAAAATGATATTTGCATACTCGTAGTGCTACATAAAAAATATATTGTGCAGGTTAGTTGGGTCATGACGTTCATAAGCATTCTTCTCTACAATATATCCTATATACTATTCAATATAAAGTTATTTGACGAAGTCATTATTCACAATGAACTTAGAATTTATTATTCGCAGATTTCTATTTCCTACTGTCCTACCATGATTCTTTTGGTACATGCTTTTGCAATTCTACAAAGGCATACATACACTTTGTAGTACACTGCCCCGCCACGGTGGTCTAGTGGCTAAGGTACTCGGCTGCTGACCCGCAGGTCGCGGGATCAAAATCCCGGCTGTGGCGGCTGCATTTCCGATGGAGGCGGAAATGTTGTAGGCCCGTGTACTCAGATTTGGGTGCACGTTAAAGAACCCCCGGTGGTCGAAATTTCCGGAGCCCTCCACTACGGCGTCTCTCATAATCATATGGTGGTTTTGGGACGTTAAAGCCCACGAATCAATCAATCAATCACTTTGTAGTACACTAACCTGGAGATGTGACATCAGTTGAGTTCTTTTTTTTCCTAGACTTCTTGCTTTTGGAAGCATTCTGGTTGCGAGAGAAAAGAAAATATAAATGAACAACTTTACACGTTTCACAAGCAAACAACAAATGTTTACGTGCATTAATGTTCACCAGACAGTATACAAGTTTGCAAAGTACCCTATGTTTAAAAAGTGACCTCATTATTTTGTGACATCAGAACCCAACCATAATCATTGAAAATGCAAAAAGAAGACTTTTTCTATACATATTTAAATGCACTGATAAGACTATTCTTTCTCAACTATTTTGTATTGCCATCAGAGGCAGAAGTTTACAAATCTGCTTTGTCTTAGTAACTCAGCAGGGCTCCTGATGTTTTACCTTTAGTCCACCTGTGAGTCAAATTACCATACATGAGTGCAACCACCTGGGTATTACAATATGTGTGACCACTCCTGATGAACTAACAACAGAATATTGACTGAACAAATTTAGTCAATGACTTCAGGGTGCATTATACAAGAGACTGAAGCTGGAGAGTTCCGTTGGTGGGCGACTTGCTTGCAGGAAAAGTGCTGCCACTCTCAAACTAGTCATCCCTGTAATCTTTTACGAAATACACAGGGGTCCAAATACACAGCAGCACGAAAAAGAAGGTTTGTGGGAAGAAGAACATATAGAACGCCAATTCAGCCACTTCTTAAAAGGCACTAAAGTAAAATAGTGAATTGATTTAGACTGATAAATTGTGCTCTTGAGAATATTGGCTGAACGAAATTTTTTGAAAAATGACAATCTAAATCTCTTGCCCCCTCAGAGGACAATGTGTTTCATTTTTACTGCTTAGAAACTATGTAGGACCTGCTAGACACCGTCACAGTCAATCAATAGGTTTTCTGGTCACGAAACTGGTGGCTCAATTTAATACAGAGTTAGTGGCAGAGGAACATAGTAAAAGAAAGACCACCCAGAGGAGCGGTTGCCGCAGGCAACAGTTGTATTGTTTCCTTTGCTGGTACGTCGTGGCCGAAAAACCCACTCCTTTCGCACAATACTTGTGTTCTCTTTTGACATTGCAATTATCAGAATTAAGCTTGAAAATAATGTTTTTGTACCGAAAACAAGGCGCATACAAAAAGTAAACAATTTCAAATTCAGCTGGTAGTTCACTAGTTCAGTTTGCCAGCAGAAGACGCGCATAGACCTTTATGATACTGCGGAATCTATTCCTAGTTGGCCCAACAGGCCTCAATTAAAAAAAAAAGAAGAAGAGAGGGAGAGAGAGACTGACGCACCTGCACTTACACAGAGAATAAAATAGCAGCATTAATATTAAATGCATGACAACCTAAGCTCGAAATTCACAACTGTTACTTCCCGAACTTCCAAAATCACGCATGTAGCTCCAGCAGACTAGGTTTATGTAAGACAAAATGCTATAGGGCATGAGCTTGCATTTGCCAGTAATCTAGCTGTTTGATACATCGGCAGGATGTAATCGTTATGAAACTGTTTCTTGATGGCAACTGTTTTCGTGCATATGAGTTGAATGGTGCAACACAGTTTTCCAATGCGAACCAAATCCCCCAATAAGAACCACATGGATTAATGTGTCCCCCTCATTCTGTATTGTGCTTCTCAATTTCTATTTCGTAGGAGCAGGGTGACTAAGATTCATGCCCATAAGCATTCAGTACCATACTTCCTTGGCATACAAAGACTCTTGCTCTTAATAGGATTGTAATCAGTATCTTTCTTTGAAGAAAATAAAGCCATACAAATGCTTATGATCGAGATATAACAAATAACTATTGCTTTCACTCAGAAGTGGGGTAGTGTAAAGTTCAAAAGACGTCTTAGAGGAATGCCGACACAGAAACCTTGAAATTTTTTTATTGTTGTTACAGTAAGTAGATAATTGTTCGTTTATCACAGCTGGAAACCCCCCTAGCACACGATGGTTTCCAAAGTTGTTTCAATGGTTTTCAAACTGTCACTGGTCGTGACTTCTGATTCATAAAGTGCGCTGGCAGGCCGTTGAACGCACGAGAAATGGCGTGAGGTGCGACCTCTCTCGGCAACGATATGGCATCACTGTTTATTGTGAAATTGTGCCCATATATGATGTCTGATGAATCAAAGTGCTTTGCACACACACACAACTGAATCAATGCTGAAGCCGTCTATTTCTAGCTGTGTTATGGCTCACTTCATGTTCTCGAACTTTTGACGAACACTTGGCATGTAAAAAACATCTTTTCAGCAATGCCCTTAATGGCACCTCGGTAAGTAGCGCCTGAATGGTGTCATCACGCGAACGTGCCGCTTTAACTGTACAATACCTGAACTTGGCCTTTCACTAAAAAGTAATCACAGATAGAGTACTACACTCACAAACTTTTGGCTTGTGCTCGTCGTATGTGCGGTCTCTGCAGAATCAAACCGAAGGGGCGGAGAAGCATGGCCTCTAAACAACTGTGGTGCCGTGGCACGGCAGCTTTCCACGTCATGTCAAGCTTGCCCATAGTGTGACAGCGAAGTTTCGTGACCAGAAATAGTATTGATGGACTATGATGTTATCAAAATTTATAAAGTCATGGCTTTTGGACAGGAACATCAAGGAAACATCGTCACCCGCATTTTCTTTTTGTGCAGTTTCTAATTTACCAAGCATCTTATCACAGCAAGTGTGGGGATTTTGTAATTGTGAGAGTATTTACTAAGGTGAGAAAAATAGTTTTTTTCTCTTTAATGTCTCTACAAAGCATTTTATAATGCAAATATACAAAGACACGCACTATCCTATTTTTTCACTACTGAAGAAAGATATAGGCAAAAAAAAGAGGTGCTGTTTGCACATTTCACATAGTTTCCACAAGTGCTAAGAAAAGACACAGACAAAAACACAATTTTCATGGGATAAAAATAGGTATCCACTAATCACTTCAATTTCAAAAATGGAAAGAACACTGCCAATAAATACAAATTCAGGCTTTCAGGGCTTCAAATAATTCCCAAAGACCAGCAGAATAACTTATGTGCACACAACTTTGTATGCAACAAAATTATTAAACGCCCAACTTTAAACTGTCGGACCTAAGCAGCTGCATGCTATGCGATTTGTCTATCATGTTTTATTTTGTTCGCACACCAGCCACTAATGTTGACTTCTGCTGCTCACTCTTAGAGAATTGTTAATAAACACCCTGGGCAACATTGGTACGAGTTTTCAATAATACTGATCCTTTTACTGTTGTGTAATTTGCTGAAAAAGTGATGTCCACAAATATGGACGTTGGCAGTAAAGAGACTATATAAATAACCACAAGTGCAAAAGTGTATTCCAGAAAAAAAAAAACACACCACCTGTGTAATCTTTAAGAATGTAAGATGATATTCATTATTGCCGGCAGTACACTTTTAAATGACCATATATTTACTATGGATTAGAAAGCAGTGCTCATGACCCATCACTAAAATCCATTGCCAAGTTATTTCATAACTTGGCAGTATGAAGACATGAAATGAATCTTGCTAGGATATATCTTGCTAGGATGACAGCATAAGATAGGTTGCACAAAAATGCTGTACAAAATCTGCGCAAGCTGTAACAGCGTTAAAATGTTCATTTTTGATATGGATGCGTCATGAGCACGAGAAGATAACTTTTTCGTCACACGTTGACACTGCCGGCGCGCGACGCAGTCGGTCAATTTTCATGTTTGAGGAGGCATGTAAGGCTTTCAACTTAAAAATGAAAACAATAAAGAAGAATAGGGAAAGCACAGCATTAGTAAGCTACACAGCAGAGTAAAGGACTAGGAAGCTACATTGCCAACCGAACTTAGAATGCGCTACGGTACCGTAGTGATAAATCAACACAAAACGAAACACGAAAACGAGGCAAAAGTATAATGAAGTATTGTTTGATACTCGTCACTTTCTCAATTCTAACCGCTGTTTTTTTTTTCAAAGTGGCTCTTGATTTAATAGATACAAGGCAAATTTCAAGATACATACCGTCGCATAGAAACACCGAATGTATATGTAGCCTAAAAGGTTGCACATGCACTGTCAAAAGTACCAACCATTGCACTTCTGCGATGTGTTAAGAACCACCAGAGTTGTTGAAGAACTCTGGATTCTCGACAAAATTTCACTATGTGCTTCAGAAAAAAAAAAGCGTGCTTTTATAGCGGTAGCATATCTAACAGCGGAATCAGCATGGCATCGACTTTCTAGCTTCAAGGCCTCATTTGACGTTAAATTTCACTGTATTAGAGTTTCCCCGAATTTTCTTGAAAGTAACATCACTCTGAAGACGTATTAAGCCTTCACAGCTACATTCAATGACACTTCGCAGCTCCGGTGGATGGCATACAATTGAAGTGCCACAGCCGCTTCGATGCACCACTGTGGGCGAGGGCGCCCCTAGTGGTTGCTCCCGTCCCTATATCAAACTTTCGCCAAAGCTTCATGACCAAAAAATATACTGACAGACTTTGGTAATATTAAGACTTCAAAAAAACAGGTACCACTAAAGAAATTAGTAATTCTTGCTGCACGCACTGCCTACTCACACGTGAAAAAGTTACATGCACGTTTGCGCGAGCTGGACTTTTGTCCTCGTGAAATGCACGCAGAGTGCGCAGGTTGACGCGTTCATGAGCTGCTGTGCCTGCGCAGACTCTTGTTTTACTGCGAATAGCCTTATTGGCATCGTATCAGCATTTCATTGGTAGGTGTTTTGCTTATGTTTTTTCAGGCGTTAAGTATGCCACGTTAAGTGGTATGGCGTGAATTGTTATCACCATTTATGCTAAAAAATATTAATTTCGTGAATTTGTGCACCAACGTGCATTATATTTGAAAGCATAAGACTTTTTATTGTATATTGCATAGATTTAAAGTTACGCCGATTGTTTTGTAAGGGTTATGAATCACAGTGCAGGTTAAAATTGCTAAAGTTAGCTAACTTTGTGTAACACAAGTGTGGGTGCAGAATATACTTTCTTTAATAAACAAGAATTTTCATGCAAGAGAATGAATTTTATACAGAAAAAATGGTTAGACTATTTATTTCTTTTGTCAGAATTAAGTAGCTTCAATGAAGACAAATTGACAGGGATTAAAAGTCGTGGTTTGGGCTAAGTGACTGATAGCAGTGAGAAGGAGGAATGATAGCACTGAGATGCAGCGAGAAGGAGGAATTGTTGAGTAATCTGCCTCCAAGCAAACTTGGTAAGGTGGCGATCTCCTGCCAGCTAAAGTACAGGTACTGCTGTTTGCAAGAACGGTTGGGGTTCGATCCCGCGACCTGCGGGTCAGCAGTCCGCAGGTCGCGGGCTGCTGCCTTAGCCATTCAACCACTATGACGGGTAGAGTATTGAGTTGAATGGCTCTGCAAGTTGAATGCTTCCTGTACGGTGGTGACATGGTAAATTTCTAAAAGTACAGATGGAATGCTGCTGACAGTGTATATATCTTTATTGAAAAAAGTTGATGGCACACAATTCACCATTATGAGCATCATCAGTCTGACTACGTCCACTGCAGGGCAAAAGCCTCCCATGCCAATCAACTCAGTACTGCGCTTGCTGCTGCCGCATTATACCCGCAAACTTCGATTACACCCACCTGCATTTCTAGAGTAAGTAGTGGCAGATGTACTAGGCTGCACTCAAAATCAGCCAAGTGGTTTGAAAGAGATAACTGAAGCACAACTTAGCCTTTGCAAATGCATCTAGCCTTCCTTAAGAGTACACTAAAGTCGATTAGGAATTTATATCAGAGTTCACTCAATGTATGACAACATCTAAAACAACAATACCATCAAGAGCAGTGCCCTACTTACCAAGAAATTAAGGTAAATGCACAAGAAACCATGTGTCGCAGTAGGACATTCTTGAAATGATCCCGATAATATCAGACGAACCGCCTGCAATTAATCACTAGTAATCGATCTAGCTGCACTTAAGGACCTTCCGTACATCAAGAGATGCAATAAAATGCTGCTTGTTCGTTTCTGTTTGATTCAAGGAAAACAGAACTGCCGGACGTTACTATGGGGAATGGCACGAGTGGTTCAATAATTCAATTTTCGTGCCATCTATCGGGGCCCAGTAGAACCAAAACACGTCTGCCATCGCGGAGCCAATGGCAGGAAATCGATCAATGGTCGTTGTGGCTGCTGTGGCTCCTGCTGCTTTTGTCCTGCTGCTACAAGGGTCGACGGCTGTGCAGTAAAGCCAGGCAACACTGTGCACGGCAACGGTGACGGAGATGATCCCCTTTTTGAGGTGGGTAATTTGAAGCGCACTAACCCGACGCGGACCCCTAAAACGCGATCTTACTTCAAAAATAAGCACTTCCTTGGCACAAAAGTAAGACTACGAGGTTTCTGGACCGCTATTTCAACAATGAACGTCGACTTAATAGTTGCCTTCAGTGTCCCTTTAAAAAGCTCTGGTCTTATGGAGCAAGGAATCGTAAAAAGTGGACTCGACCCTATCAGCCACAGATGACACACAGCCTCGGTGCCTTAATGGCAATAAGTAACGCTACTAAAACGCTCCAGTAGCACTGGTTATGACCACAGAGGGAGGACTGCACATAACTTTTTGTTGTCAGGGCAAATGTCTGCCACGATGGTACAGCGGTTATGCTGCTCAGCTGCTGACTTGAAGGTTGCGGGTTTGACCACCGTTACGGCGGTCACATTTAGCTGGAGGCTAAATGCTAAAGGCCCATGTGCTGTGTGATGCTGGTACACATTAAAAAGCACAAGATGGTCTAAATTTCCGAAGACCTTCGGTACAGCATCCCTCATAATCATATCGTGGTTTTGGGGAGTGAAACCTAAACAATTATTATTCAGGGCAAACGTCAGAGAAATAGTGTCCTAAATGACTAACCTGTGTGCCGTTGAGATGGTGTGTAATGCATAGTTCTTTTTTGGCTTCTATACGCTGATCTGCAGAGCAGCTTTGCTGATGACGATGTTTTGCAGTTCCAGGTATGCAGGCTTTCCGGTCCTGGGTCACTTTCTTTATCACATTATTCGCAGGCACTGTAGATGATGTCACCGATAACTCCACATCTCCTATGGTCATTTTTGACAAAGTTTCTTTGCTGAACATGCCGCCAGTTTCTGTCATAAACCACAGAATAAACATGTCCCGTCAATGACTGTATGCAAGGACAAAGTGTACACTGTTTCAATTAGATATGGGGGGAGGGGTCTATGTAGAGAGAACGTAGAAGATACGCTTAACAAAAAGCCAAAATGTTGCGAGCAACAAAATTGTATTTCTCAAATGACTTACGTAGATCAATCCTTGAGCAACAAAAACCCCTTTGTTTCACCCTTTTTAGCACAGTGCAAGAAAGGTTTTCTTTGTCTGAAGAATCCATCACCAAACACCCTAAGCTGCCGCATTTAGAGATCAGGAATATTACCACTGTGTGAGCAGTGATGCTTTTATATTTGTCAATATACTACAATGTGTGCTTTGTGTGTTGCATATTTAGCAAGTTCATAGGCTGGGAAACTTTCGCATCATCATGCAAGCAAACAATGTAAAAAATAAAAAAAATGGTGTGGCTCTTGCAGCCATACAGCTATTATAGCACAAATCCTGCCTTCTTCCTCGGTAGGCTTGCATAGAATTATTTTAGTGACTGTGCTTCTATGCACTCACCTGAAGGTAATGATGGCCTGCCAATGATGAACACATTACCCGATATTGATGTTGTGGGTCCTCGGCTGTTAGACGTTGTGTTTATGGCTATGCTGGAAGTCACCTTGTTGCGCAAGGACACTTCCGGTGGGAGACATTCTTCATTCAGTTCTCGAATGCTGGCGATGCAGCTATTACCATTGGTACTCATGCCATTACTTTTAGAACACTTGTTCAACCGGATTCCATTCTCTTTGCAGGCTTCTTTTCGGTTCACCACTGCCTTTGGTGATGATGGTGCCTGAAAAATAGTTTTCATTTACCAAAAATCTCAAAATTGCATTTTTTTTTATTTTCAACAGTCCTAATGACAAGCCCAATCATGAACTAAGAAATTGAGAGGAATACTGCAGGACAACATTAAAGGAGCACTAATGAAAAATGTTAATCCAAGCTAATAATAAAATATTGTACTACTGTTGTAAAAATTATGCTTTGTAGTATATTTTGAAGGGTCCACATCTCTAGTGAGGATGATACAAACAAAATGCCTGCCGCAAAATTGTATTTGTTACTACAGTTAGCAATACATACACCTAAATAAAACAAAAGTACATTCTTAAACTAATGTTACACACCCACCAAGTTTATCAATGCTAAAGCAGACTACTTTATAGTTACACTGCTTATAGTTGTCTAGTTAAAACTAATACCTTCAGCTCTACAGAACAAACGAATAAGTTTACCATAAAAAATGGCCTCTGAATAGAACTGCCAACCACACAAACTTTAGCAGGACTGCCCAGCAATTAGAAATACATTCTGAAGAAAAAACTGTGTGTCCATGTTGAAGAGGGAAGGGGTAGCACACAAACAAAACCAAATTACAAACAACAAACAGTTGCACCATAGTTTATTAATATACACAAGACAGCACCAAAAGCTGTTGAGACTGGCTCTGTTTTGAAGTAATTTATCTATATGCATTCACACTGTCACCTCCCAAATAGTCCCCTTCAAAAGCTAAACAGCTCTCCCAGCATTCCGATCTCAATGTGAGAAATGTGAACCACTCTTTTTTTGTTTTTTGCACAAAATCAAGCCCATCTCTACTTGATATTGATTAACAAAAGCCATAACATGGTCTTCCAACTATATTCACAGTTTGCCATGGCAAATGAATAGAGAATATACACAAAAACATTTTGTATCCACATTAAATTGAAAATTTGAATTGATTGTCATTGCCTTTAAGCCCCTAGCACTATGAGGTGTCTCACACCAGGAAAATGTGTGGTCACCATTCTTTTGACTGCTAAGAAATCGTACGAAAGTGCAATTAATATCTTTGCCTGGAAGCTCAGAAACCGAGTGAACCAGTAGCAGCAGACACAGATCTCTCTCTTTTTTTTCTTTTGTTTTTCACTCGCGCAACAGCAGCAGCAGAGGCCAAAGAAGACCTGCACAGGTCATATCAGATTCGCCGAGAACACACGTGTAAACAAAAATCATGTTCACCAAGATGTAAATTTACAGTTCTACCAACTCCTTCCTTTACTTGCACTACACGGAAGTGCAGCACTCGAGATCTGCTTACTACAAGGCACATGTAGTTGATATGCGACTCACTTGGGTCACTAGTTAATGCTGTCTGACTTACTGTACAATTCAATAAGTGATGCAAACAATGTTCTACAGCAGCGATTAAAGCTAAATTTTGCCAGCGTGTAGGATAAACAAGGTGTAATTTAATATACATTGCATTACTTCAGCAAGAAAATTGGGCCTCATAGCCCCTTTAAGTAAATGTGCAAAATGGCATGCTGTGAGCGACATTTCTAATGCACGGAAGTGAAACCTATGAAATGAACTGTCTTTCACGTTGAAGATATATCACTAGGGGCAAAAGTTAAACATACAAATACAACCCTGAGAAAAGCAGCAATAGTCACAGCAGAAAAGTCCACGATCAAAAAACAGCTAGGCATGCCTGACTATGTGCTAGCTCATTTTCTTTTTCGTCATATACTTGGTAGTTTTAAACTCACTGGTGCCTCTAAAATAGAACCCAAATTCTATGACTGTCAATAGTGATAGTAGGAGAGCTTGTATGAAATTGGTGTAAATTCCTACTTTACAAGCAGCAGTTCTTGTTCTCGCTTGTTTTTATCAACGCTCTTTGATATACTTCAACATTTTAGTTTTAGGATCCTGCCATCTTCTTACACAGCACATCACACATCCAAATTCCAGTAAAAAACAACAAAGTTCCTGTTGTGAATTCAACCAACTATTTCATTTTTGTCTCTTCAAATTTGTCAGCTCAAAGGTCATCACTTCGACAACACTATTTACAAGCTTGAAGTGCAGAAGGGTGTTTAGCTCATCATGTCAATAGGTCCAAGACATCTTCACAAAGTAAAAAGAATGCTGAAAGCACTACAGGGTGTTACAGCTAAAAAGCATCAATAAATAAAAAAAATACATCAGTGCTTCACATTTCCAATTAGTCCAGTATTGTTCTGAGCCATATAGAGCCTGTCAGAATTAGTTTTTGACTCGCCAAGCTTAGCAGTTAATAAAAATTGCTTAATAAATTTTTTAAATAAGAACTCTAGAGAAAAATCTCCAATACAGAACTTGTAGCGCTTAATAAGATATAGTAAAATTTTTAATCTGCGGCAAGATAACTGTGCTGCTTTATTTTACAGCGAAAGCTGTTATGAGATCCCAACTCGAGTCGCACGCTGTTGTCCGCCGGCGCTGCCGCAGGTGTTCGTAACCACATCGCACGAAATTAGAAAAAAAAAAACCTAGCACCAATGATACAGTGGGGCTCAAACCCGGGTCCGCTGGATGCAAGCTCAGTATTCTCCCCCTGAGCTATGCCGGTACTTGGGACTTGTTGGCAAACTCAGTGCCGGGAAAGCAACCGCGTTAATACAACTTGTAAAGCGTTTTAAAACAGCGAAAGAACAAGCAGTCATCGCACAATGCGAATAGCATAACGAGTGGGTCGTCCAATGCTCGAACACATTACAAAAGCTTGTTTTTGTTCAGATATCACCTGTGGCACATACCCACTTCTGGCATAATTCCCCATCATCTTCAAATACTGTATGAACAATTGGGACAAAATTCCTTGCAATAGTTAAGCGGATACTACACTTTTCAGAAGAGTAACAAGAAACAGCATAGCGAATGCCGGCCTACTACCCTAAAATTTTTATTATTAATGCCGTAGTGGGCATCAAGCAAGTGTGCTTGCAGCAGTTACCCAATGAGTGTTTAGAAAAGGCTCTGAAAGGCCGCTACTCTAGCTTTCGCCGTGACTGTGCTGCACCTTCCGCACAGTCCTGGCGTTTTTTTTTTTTTGCAGCCTTTGTTTACAGTGCGCGAAATTCAAAAATTACCAAACGACTGCTGCTTAACACGCGGTATTTTTAGTCCCCTCACATGTAAGCTCAAGGAATTATCAAAAACTGCTCACACATGAAGGTCGCTTTAACAGGCTATTGGTAAATACCACGGATGTCAAGAGATGGTAGGATAGTACAATTTAAAAAAATATACGAAAAAGCGGCCACCACGTGCGAATATGATACGAGTCCGTAGGCACCATTCAATGCAGCGCCAACATTTTTTTCTTCTATTTTCGGGCCAACGATAATTATGATGGAGGGGGCGAGGGTGCCATGTTTATTGCTAGGCTGAAAAAAAAAATTAAAAAAAAGGACGGCTCTGCGTCGAATGCTGCTTGCGGACTCTTATCACATTCGCATGTGGTGGCCGCATATTCGTCAATTTTTTTATTTGTACTATCCTACCATCCCTTCACACCTATTGCATTCACCAATAGCCTGTTCAAGCGACCTTTGTGTGTGAGCAGCTTTTGATAATTCCTTGACCATGCATGTGAGGGCACTAAAAACATCGTGCATTAGGCAGCAATCACGTGGTATTTTTTGAATTTCGCACACTTTAAACAAAGGCAAAAAAAATAAAGCAGCATAGTTATCTTACTGCAGATTGAAAATTTCATTATATTTGATTAAGCACTACAAGTTCTGTATTAGAGATTTTTCTCTAGAGTCCCTATTTAAAAAGTTCATTAAGCAATTTTTACTATTTGCCAAGCTTGGTGGGTCGAAAAAAATATTCTGACATGCTCTATATGGCTAAGAACAATACTGAACTAATTGGATATGGGTAGCGCTCATTATTCTTTTATTACTTGGTGCTTTTTAGCTGAAACACCCCGTATATCGCTGAGCAAGGAAACTACTTCCAGTGACAGTGTTTGCATAGACACAAATTCCTGGGGTGCACGAATAGCAGTTTTTGAGATAGAAGTGAATGTCAATTAAAATGCCCAATACAAATTGAACTGATCCAACGTTGAATACTTTTCATATTAGTTTTCATAATGACCAACATTTTTCACACAATAAAAGAAAAAGCTGTACACATCTTATACACTCAACTAGTCATAACCTTGGCAAGTTTCTGCCTTAAATTACATAATAAAACTTCGTTATAATCTGGCATAGAGCATTAAGAGCAAAAAAAAAAAAAATCGTTTTCACGTATACGGAATCCCTCAGAGGTATTAAACAGTATACAACCAGCTTAGTATTGGTGGTGAGCCACTTCATTGAAACCAGCGGATTGAAGCATGCGTCTAAACTGCGCCAGGGGTGGTGGAGAGACCCCGTCTCTAAGCCACCTCCCATGTGGCCTATATTTGATCTTCCCAATCTGAGCTGATAATCCCGGCTCTCCACCGTGCCCCAAGCTGTTCCGAGGAGACTGCATTTGTGTCCTTAATCTGTGCGCATTCCCATAAAATGTGCTCTAGAGTGGCGTGTCAAATGTTACATAGCTTACACAAGTCATTTGGGTATAGTTCGGGGTAGCTGCGATTTAGGTGCACCGGGTTGGGAAATGTTCTGGCTTCAAGTCCCCTTCCAGTCAACCTCCTGAGATCTGTCTCATATGAAGCTAGGTGGTGGAAATCTGCGCCTCGACTTTTGATGGAATTGGATAATGTTGCAGAACCTAAATATTCTAGCCCCCTCCCACCACTCCTCTACTCTCGGTACCTCGTGGTAAGCTCCGTCGCGAGCGCGGAACGTGAGACTTCGCGCGATGCGGTGAGCTTGCTCGTAGAGGTTGGGAACGGGGGATTCGTAAGGGGTGTGGTCTGGGAACGACATAATATACCTTTCTTCGAATTCCTTAGATGATATGAGCTTAGCCTTGCACAAGAGTATGTTAGTTGCCTCGGCAGATATTGGTCCCAGTGATCTAGCTAGTTCTACTTCACAAATTCTTGTTTAATGTCTGTCTATCTGTACCTGTGAGGATGAAAGTAGCGTAACATTTCTTTGCGTTTTAAAGCACACTGCTGATGATAAAAAGCGTTTTTAAAACATTTCTATTTATATATAGGGACTATTTCTGTCTAAGGCCACACTAAAAATTATCTTACTGCCTTTGCAGAGAAGATCTCAAAGAGTGGCTTGAAAATTTCAACCAAAGTTTCAATATTTTACCAAGAACTTGCTTCAAAAAGTAAGTCTAAAAAATTTTTTATACAGGTTTACATACGCTCTCTCTCAATGGCTCTGCAGCGGTAATTTTTGCTTTGTTACTGTTAACATCGTGTTTTCTTTATGGGGGGGGGGAGGGGTTGCTTTGTATATAATGTGGTGCCCCTAGAACTATCATCAGTCCAATCATTGCATGCCCACCTTCTGCACCTCTGTTTCTGCTTGTACTAGCCTTGATATAACAGAAGGAAGCTTTATTTCTATTGCTTCCTTTGTCTTGTCAATTTCTTCTCTCTGAAACAAAACAAATCCAATGAATTCATAGACAAATAATGTGAATTTGGAATAATGACAAGCACCAAAGGCATTATGATTATGATAAAGAACCAATGGCATCATAATTATAATTATAGAAATATTAATGTAGAATTAGTGTTCCAAAACAAACCCCCAAGTACTTTGAACTATGAATCATGGAATGAATGCTTGATCTTCGTATTTAAGTGCAACATTTTTTGCTGCTGCAAATGACGATATTTACACAAAGAACATAATGTGGCAAAAAGAGAGCACAGCTGTTCATGTATTTGGCTATAGCACCACTATACAATTTCTCAATTTTTCGTTTAAACAGGCTGTACTGCACAGAATCATACCAATAGACATAAGCAGCTAAACTTCTTCCAATTGCAGCATTAGCCTTAATGTCAGAAAGTAGGTAGTAGCTCATGTACATGATTTCGTTTTTGGTGACGATAACTGGTGTAAGTACTCATGCTTGCAAGCATGTCAGCAATCACCTTCATTTGCTATCAGACACTGCCACACTTTTGACAATGAGATGGTCTGCACTAAACTGCCTAAACAATGCCACAACTCCATTATTACTTTTTAATCTGAAAAAAATTATGCAGACTTCACACAGTGTGGTAATCTATGAAAGGCAAGGTTTCCCGAGCCAGAGAAAAGGGACCACACAGTTTGATGAGGGATACACTGCAGACTTCAACAGAAAAAAATGCAGGAAGGGGACACAGCACTACTATTCATTACAACATCCAAACATTTCGACACCATCACTTAGTTCTCATGTGAGAGTGCATACGCTTAGTTTCACAGAGCTAGATGATGTCAGCATGAGGGACACTCGAACATTATTATGGCCTAAAAGCCATAGCGCTGGAATAACTAAGAGCTGAGCTAATTAAGCTTTTACAATGAGTCCTATAACTGCACATTTGTGCTGGAAGCCTGGGGTTCAATCTGAGCAAAGAACAGTTCCTGGCGTTTTCCTTGCTGTGCGAGTTTATTTGGCAAGGCAGCAACAGCAGCCAGCACAACCTGGAGAGGATCAATAATAAATGTTTTAAATTCAACCATAACTGGGCAAACATTTTAGAGCTCACTCAGACTCGTGCATGAAATATACCTCGCCCTTACGGCTCACTGAAACTCGCAGTCACTAAAATTCTCCTCTAATGGATTCACTCGAACTTAACTCACCGAAATATTATTCACTTGGACTAACTCTGACTCATGACTTTATTTGAGTCTGAGTGAATAAACTCACGGGTCCTTTAGAGTACTACAGTTCCCCTTTGTAAGAGGCATGCTTTGGGCAGCAATTCTTGTCTTTTATACGAGATGTCTCTTATAAGCAGGAGACCTCATAGGCATTTTCCTATCCCTCACATTTTACTGTTGGCATACTAGTGTCTTTTATAACCATTTATTTCTTATACAGTCGAAACTCGCAATAACGAAATAACCAAGAAAACCGAAAGATTTCGTTTTCGCGAGAATTGCGTTGCCGCGAGTGTGAGACATAAAAACAGTGATACGGACAGCAGAACGAAAATTTATTGCCAGAAGTCGGTCAACTTACTTTGCCGACCCTTGCCATGCAACAATATCAGAGCTCTCCCTTCGCACTGGAAAAAGTGGTCCATTGCTACGTCGTTGTCATGTGCGCCGTAGAAGGAGAGAAGGGTGTCCAGCGCATTTAAAACAACCCGCGGGATGGGTTTCTCCAGGTGCGTCTCTTCTTGATCCTCGGTGTCGTCAGCTTCGCGCACGCTTTCGATAATGACCTCGTCAGACACTTTTTCGTACATGACTACGTCGTCATCGGCGGGAACGAACGCATCAACGGTGAGTTCATCTGGGATGTCGATGTCGATGGCTCGAAGTTCCCTCCACCAGGCGTTGGTCAGGGATAGAGGCACTGCACTGCCACCACTCTTGCTGTCAAGTGCGCCTTTGTCCAAATCTTCGTCTGGTGAGGCTGAAGCGCACTCCGTGCGTGATGCTTGCTCGGTGTTGGTGAAGCCAGTGTGATCATTTGCCATCACCTGATCATTTGCCATCGCCTGATCATTTGCCATCGCCTGATCATTTGCCATCGCAGCATGATCATTTGCCACCGCCTTCTGCAGTGTGGCCAGGCATGTTGCCGGACACAGACCCCATCACCGATTTAAGTAAACAAAAATGTCGGTATCCACACTAGCACAGCAAAAGCAGACGCTTACAAATTTTAAGTGCGCATAGCACACATACGAGCATATTTTCGACAGTTATCCTTAAGCGGGAGGGTAAAATAAGGCTTGCACCGTGGTAGAAAATTCGTTAATGTGGGATCGCTGTCCAAAAACATTTCGTTGCCGCAAGATACATAATACATGGGCTTCTATGAACGTTCGCCGGGGATCCGGAAATATTTCGTTGCCGCGGGCTTTCGTACTCGTGGGGTTTCGTTATTGCGGGTTTCGACTGAATCAGTCTCTCTTATATTTCCGCCTCTATCGGAAATGCAGCTGCCACAGCCGGGATTTGATCACGCAACCTGCCGGTCAGCAGCCGAGTGCCTTAGCTACCAGACCACTGTGGCGGGGTGTGACGCAAAGCAAAAAAGCTACAAGTGTTATGAAACAATTATAGAAAAGATTACTCCCAAACAACCCAAACGATTTTTAAAAAGTTGGCCAAATGTAATTCATTCTAATGATAGAAGAATGGTGACAATTGTAGAACGAATAAAATGCAAATGCAGTGCAACACACAAGTTTAAGTCGGACTAATTTGCCACGTTCAAAAAGTGTCATGCGATTCTTTTGTCATGTGCTGAAAAGTTTATGCAACTTTTTGTTCTATTGGTTAGATGCTTTCGTTGGCCAGCAGGTTAATAACCAACACTGGCAGTTTTTACCTCGAACACACATCTGTTCTGTAATCTGCCACACGGCTATAAGATGAGACTTTTTCTTTAAATTTTAAGTTTCAGGTTGCTCTTTTACAGAGCAGTTAAGTTCGAGCAACAGTATCCCAGCAATCTAATAAAATACACATGATCTGAAAATTAGCATACCCTCTTGGTTTTACGTTTATGTCGCTTGGTCAGAGTCCCCTTCACCATTGATGAGGAATTTGTGTTCGCAACGCTGGATTCCACAGCCATATGTGTGGATTCTTTTCTACGGCCTCCCGTGTCGGTTCCATTGATGTAGTTGAGCAGTTCATCAACCTCTCTATCATCTTCATGCCGCTCCTTATGATCATTTTGTTGCCGCTGCTTGGCCATGTGAATTGCCTCTGCCTAGAAAACAAAGAAACCATTCACATTCATTATTAATGAGAGTACCATATTTACCACACAGACTACTCAAACATTTATATGCTACTGATGCTGATGAATTTGAGACAAGATTATACTTGCAGGCGAGTCTTGCTTTCATATCAAATGCCATAAAACTGTAAAACTAAGCAAAAAAATAATAATGGCAACACACACGATTGTGAAAGTAGCACTTGTCCTGTATTCTTCGTCCACCTTACGCGTCTTTCATGCTTACATAAGTTAAGGCACACACCATGCACAAGAACATGCAATTTATAATTTAGGAGCGACTTCTTTTTTACACCATACTACCTTAACTCTACAAGTGCTCGCAGACCAATCATCAGGCAATCTACAGTTGTTACCTGTTTGTGCTGTAAAAATGGTACTGAGATTTGATGGGGTAGGGTTAAACAGGTTGAACAACATAAATAATACCTTTAACCATCAAAGAATGCTACATAAATTGCTTTAAGATTTGTCCTCCAAGTCAGTTTCAGTTTCTGTAACCAAAAGGTGTATGCACCATGGTGTCATGATACATGCCTCACTCTGTTGCTTTAGATGCTGCCATTGCCAACCCTCAGAAGAAAAAGAACACACAAAATCCTTTCAAGTGCAAAAACCATTTTCAAAAATTCACCAAGATGCCTTTAACATAACCATTCAGTCTGTCAAAATTTAATTGTGACACCTTCACATGTTATAATACAGTGACATCACTATTGGTCCCCGCTGCTTCATCAATCTCCTGCTGCAAAAATTCTTTAAAGTCATCAAGTACAAGTGAAGTTACCCAAAACTATCACACAAAACATACACTTTCTCTCTCTTTTTTTTTTTGTAGCCACTAGCATGCTGGAAGCAACACAGAACGGGTGGCAAAAAAATGACGAGGTAACACCTGGCCCAAAGGTTATGCTGCCATGCATTATGACCGGCGGCAGCTGCATTTTCAATGGAGGCGAAAATGCTGTAGGCCCGTATGCTCAGATTTGGGTGCACGTTAAAGAACCCAGATGGTCGAAGTTTCCGGAGCCCTCCCACTATGGCGTCTCCCATATTAATATGGTGGTTTTGGGACGTTAAACCTGACATATTACTCAATCAATGCGCTAAGACCTTAAGCATTTTTTTGGGCGAAGCTCCTTAGGGCGTGGATTTGTCTATCCTCCATCGTTGTCATACGTAGCCACCAGGATGTGAGATGGCGGCACTTGGAGTGTTAACTAGATGGACGCACAGACGCATGGACGAACGGACGCGCGGAGCGGGTATGTGCCACAGGGGATGCGAGATGCGAGATGGCGGTCCGTGCATCCATTTAGTGTTCACTAGATGGATGCACGGACGGATGGACAGACAAACTAGAAGACGGACGGACAGATGGACGGGCGTGCAGACGGATAAACGCACGGACGGACGGAAGCAAGAACGAATGGGCGAATGGAAGCACAGACGGGCTGACGGACGCTTCACCCACTCATCATCACTCACTCCGAGGATATGCTGTGACTTTTTTTGTGGTCCTACTGCTTGCTAATTCTGGTTTAGATGTACGTGGCACCAACACGTGATGGCACTGCATGGGTGTGCACAGTGCCTACACAATGTGGCAAGTGGCCTCCGAGATGGTCACACTGGGTTCTTCCCACCTGCTGCATAGTTTGCAGAGGGGAAAGCAAGCAATCACTGGCTGTATTTGAAATGAAATTGAAAATTTTCTGCCATGAGCAGGGTCATATTTGGCTCACACATTTCTAGGTGCCTTTTCAACAGACAGGCAGCTTTTATGACAACGTTCAAAAAGTGTTCCAAAGTGCACATGAACAAGTGAAAATTCGGCCAGAACAGTATTCTTACAGGTGAGGTATTCCCTCTTACCACTGCTGTACTGTATCATTGGAAAAGCCTATGGCCTAATGCATTGGTTTCAGAGATCATTGCTCATAAATCTCCAAAAAAACTAACCTCAAGCCTCATGATCCCAAGCTCGCAAGCTGTACGGTCAATTAGTTTTTGAGAGATTTGTGTGCCTCAAAAATATTTTTAAGAAGTAGAACTGGCTTGACTTGGCCTAAAGTCACACGACAAATCTGTGTGCCTCTTGGATCGAGGAATGCGAGCTCGTCATTCGCTTCGTCTCTGCGAAAGTGAACGTTAAATAGTGAAAGTTAAATGGTGAATGTTAAGTGAGTGAAAGTTAATGAGTGCTTAATAAATTAAGTGAGTACTAAGCTTAATTAATCAATTATTAAAACCTATTTAGTTATAGTTATTGCTGATTCTTACAATGCTGATAAAGGTGCATAATAAAATAGCGATTCTGCATGGCTGTCACCTTGAAGTCTTAGGCCATATAAAAGCCCTGAGCAGTTTTTTTTTCTTTTTTTAGGACTATTTTTCAGAGGCCTGATAATTCACAATTGTTCCTACACATCTATAGCTATGGCACAATAACACTAAGTTGCTTTTCTTAGTTGAGTTTACAGTGGTTTCAGAAAGTGCCACGGGCCTTGTAGCTTTAAAATAAAGCATTTATATCTCCAAACTTGTGCCACATGGACACTGAAAACGGTATAACTTCCTAATACCTTAGGATTTAATGTAATTTGTGAGGTGACACTGGGGCAAATCAAATGGCATTTGCTTTAACCCCATTTGACACCTAATTCTTTCGCAAGAACTGATTCAATTGATGATTTGCATATGCTTGATGTCAAGGCTTACTTACTGCAGTATACATAAAGCATTTAAAAAAATGTCTATACTGCCAAAAATGTTTTTATATTACTTTTGACAAATATAATGCTATTTCCTAGTTGCCCCTATAGCATAATTCACTTCAGCCTCGCAATAGCTTCTGCATGAAAGGCACCATGTTGAATCCTGGGCTTAAGGTTCAACAAAAAATGGCCAAAGTTGCTGTGTTCAATTGCCGTGTAGTAAAAGACTGCAACAAGCTGAAGCTAATGACACCATAGTATGCTTACTTGTATATATCACCAGGTTTGAACACAGATTAGAGTTGTTCAAATGAGCGTTTATTTTGTATTATTGCCCTAAAATTGCTGATTTTAGGAATTTCTATTATCGCCACCTAAAGGTGATGATGATGGTATGTGGGGTTAAACGTCTGATGGTTTGTGGAGTTTAACAAGTGGAAAGGGGGAATATCCCGTGTATTTCACAATCTCTCGTGCACCTAAAAATCCAAAGTAATCCAAGATAATTAAACTAACAATGGCGTACCAGATCTCCAAATCTGAAGACCTGTGACATTAAATGTTGTAACTAGAAGTAAACGACCGCATGAGAGTGTTAGTGTCACTTTATTAACCCGCTAGCCCAATACCAGGTCGTTCCTGCCTGGTATTCTGCCGGCAAATTTTTGCGCTCCCTAGCAGCTTGGGTTGGTGCACCTAAACTGCCATAAAATCCACAATAAACGTCATAGAATAACAAACTTTGTTTCATTTACTAAACAATGCTTGACTGCATCAGGTGCTTCAGTATGATTTTCATGAGTGAAAAAGCACATGGGCATGTGAAGAGCAACTTCACATTTTTCACATCCCCATCGGTTCTCGGACTTTTTGCCCTGTGCCTTACAAACTAATACCCCTGTCACACTGCAAATCTAACATCATTTACAATGAATGACTTTAAACAGACCTGCATTCTGTCACACGAAAAAAAAAAACAAAAACAAATGTCATTTTAAAATGATGACCATGACCTTAGCCTTCCTGAGCCGTGGCTTTACGAGAAATAAAACCATATTAAAAACTTCAACGTAACATGTCTGCATCCACAAAAATAATTCTTATAGGTAAAAAGGTGCTCTTAGAATACAAACATGGTCGTTTTACACAATTAGCAGGGGTGCAACAGCCGAAATAGAATTCGGAGCAATTTCAGGAGCAGCAAAATATTACTTTCGGAGCACTAAAACCCAAATTTGGAGCAGGTCACAAGAGAAAGAAACATTCATTTTTTATCATAAAAGACCGAATTTCGAGCAGCTTGAGAAAGAAGGCTTGGATTTAGAAAAAATATATATATGTACAAGCCATTCAACATTCCCTAAATCATGCACAGTGAATATGAACACAGCTATTTCAACAAAAGTTAATTTCTTTAATCACCCCACTCAGCAAACAATGATGAGGTCCACATTAGAAGTAGCTACGCCTGTCAAATTGCTTGACAGAGTCTGAGAATTCAAATGTGGATCCTCCAAGATGGTCACCGCGAGATTCATAAAACTGGAAAAAAAAAGAAGAAAAATGACTTTTTATGGCTACAGATATGTCATATTGTACTCCAAATCATTTTGCCAGTGACTTTTTAGATGTCAGCAAACATATTAGTACTCACAATTATGTGGTGTATACACACATCAGTAATTGAACAAAGGGTGCTGTGTAAAGGCTACTACTATAAGCCCCTTCCAAATCTTATAACGCTTTTCCGCAGGTCACCCGTGTACTGTAACCAAGGTGGCTTAAGCAGTGTTTCTGCACGGGTTAGAACAAGACTAAAAAATTTTCGTACCACAACCCCCCCTCCATTTTTTTTCACGAAGGGGTTAGGTTCAAGGCACAACTTCTCGGCTTGCTTGCAAGGCACGTTTGACCAGATAAAGTAATAAAGACGCGTGCCTGTTGGCCTGGCAACAGCACTGGACATCTATCGCATGTGGCATTGCTATTGTAACTAACGTCGTCATGGCATGAACTAAAGCCGGAAGCACACAAACTCGACGTGCTGAGAGTTTGTACACTTCCAGCTTTAGTTCCTAATGGTTTCTACCATGCCATGGCCGCGCTTGCCGACTAGGAAATTCATATTTCCCATGAAGTGTTGCTGGCTACGGCAACACATTGCTGTCTTGAAGTTGCGTCGTCCCGCCGGTAAATATCTGCTGGGGTCAGCGGACCGACGGGTGCGCAGCGTTGTTACTTCATCTGGTTAAT